TTTTGTACAGGGGGGAGATGCCCCCATAGCAAAAACGCAACAGTTAAAAGCTTCAGATAATTCACTTAGAAAATCCTCATAAGCTTTAAAAAAGTCATCAAAACAATTAAATTGGCAATATCGATCCGAATGAATTAATTGCTTGATGTCGTTAGTCCCTCCCCTAACAAAAACCCCGTCAAAAATAAACGATTCATCAAGCTTCAGATCCGAATAAATTCGATTCCGTAGGTTGGTAGATGACATCGATCCATCCCCACAGACCACAGACCACGGACCAGCCGGACATAGACCACTGTAAAATATCAATAATATCAGTAAATATATCAAAAAAGTGAGCATTATCAAAATACCTGGTAAATGTCAACGTCTAAGTCCTCAACCAGATGCGAGAAATTTGGAACAGCACATTCAGTCCGTTGATCAGCACGAATGCGAGTACGAAAAGTAAATTCCTTTCCGCGCAGATGAAAAGAACTACACAACGACGTTGCAATAATTAGAATCGCCTTCCTCTTGGTATTTTTTCTGGATTCCGTCGAAAAATCTAATTTTGCAGTACTAAAGTCGAAATCAGCTACCAGAGTTCCTGGTACCGGCAGCGGAACCTTAACTTGGTTTGACTTCAGTTCCTTGTAAACAGCATCAGTTAATTTCATCGATTTCCCAACATTATTGAAATATGTCGGGGAATTATCAGGCATAAATTTTGAAACTTCGAAGATTGAACTCCAATGACCTAGTAAAATAATATAATTAAGAAAAGATAAATCATTTAACAAGTTTCCAAAAAACATACGAAACGGGCGGTCGCCTTCATTCAAATCCAGTCCCAAATTAAATTGAAGAATCTCCTCGTCACCAAGACCAGCAATTGCCCCAGTTTGATCTTTTGGAGCACCAGCCATCTTGTCAATAATGGCAGGAACACAAGGAATTCTCTCCACTTGTTCACTTGGCCCCAAATCCACTAAAGATTATCATAATGAGTTAAAAATAAAACTAAAAATTCATAAAAAATAAAAAAAAGTTAAAAAGAATCCACACCTAAGTCAGAAGATTCAGAAACGACTTCCAGACACTCGCTTGAAGATCCTTCGGTTATCTCAACTGCTTTCTCTGATAGAGGTAGGTCCGCTGGTGTGGGAATGGTCAAATGTCTGCACCAAATCTTCTTCAAGGATTCAAATCCACCGATGTTCAAAGTAATGCCCCCGATCCTTGCTTCACAATGGTCGTCTGATAAAAATACGAAATTTTTTTTATCAAAAGGTCCTTTACAAAAAAAACCCTTTACAACTCACCAAAAGTTCGTAGATAATCACCATCAAGAATATTTAAGAAAAAAGTCTGCTCATTCGAAAAGGATCGCAAAAAAGTCTCGCGATCACAAAAGTTGATAATTTTAAATGAATCATTCAACTTAGTCAGAGCTGTGTTGCATGCGAGTTCAGATTGATGTAATATTTGGCGACGAGCGCTAAGATCCACATTTAAATCATGCTCCGAACGACTCAATAACGCATGCTCTTCCTCCACTAAAGCTAAATGAGCTCTTTTCCTACTAATCAAAACGCGTGCTCCCTCAACAGTCTTCTCGTATAGAAAGTCACTTTTCACGACACTACACAATTCCACTAGGCGTTTCCAAGTCCTCAGATCAGCAGTCTCCAAAGTTTTTACAAGATCCAAAGCCAACAAAGGAAACTTGATGGTCCGTTCCTCTAGTTTCGGTTGCTCCTGACGTTCAGAGATGCACAGCTCACCTAATAACAGATTCACATCTGAAAATGGGTATCAAATCAAATAAATCACAAATCAAAATAAATAATCAAAAGAATACAAAAAAATTAAAAACAATCAATAGAGAAAATAAAAAGATGACAAAAATACGATATGAAAGTGAAATCAAAGAAAAATAGAAACAAAACAAGCTTGAAATTGCATAATTGAGCTCAATCAAGAGAAATTCGAACGAAATGCTTTATTTGATTGATAAAAGAATTACAGGCCAAGAGTTGAAAATACACTCGCAAAAAGAGAGTTGAAATTACACTCGCAAAAACATGAGAGTTGAAATTACACTCAGCAAAAAGATATGAGAAAGAAAGAAGAAGAGACGACAAACCTTTGTCAGGAACATCACCAAGAAGATCCGAAGAAGACGAACCGGCAGCCACATCCATCAGTCCTTCATCGAGCCCAGCCATCGCGGAAAAAACTCAAGAAACTTCAGGGAAGACTCAGAAGAACACTTCGGCAAGAAAAGATTGTGAAAAATCGGCGAAAAATTCTATGAGAAACTCGCGAAAATAAAAAATTAGCAAAATCGGACAAGACACGCGAATCTATCGATCAAAATGAACGCGGAGAAACCTGTGAATGTGATATGTTGAATGAAACATTTTGAATGAAGCATAAAAATTATTTGAATTCAGAAACTGATCACTTCCGAATTCAAATACGAGCATGTATCAAAAGACAAGGGACCCTCTCACAGACCCTCTGACGTAGGAACTTTCAAAATGAAGCTAATGGCCGGGTAACCATTGCGCGCGCAAATCCCTGTCATGGCGTTTAAGAGCCAAATGCCCGGTGAAAGAGCACGCCTGGCGGCAGGCTCCTTTACTGGGCAGGGGGGATTATGTTGGGGACTCGCGGTGCACCCCGAATAAAAATCAATTAAAAATATCTAATCGGGTGGAAAACCACCCGCGCGTAAAAAACGGACAAAATCCGTCAACGGTTTTCCCCTCCCCAAGAAAAAATTAGACTTTCTTGGCGCCAAGACGTCTGTCTTGGTGCCAAGACGTCTTTGATTACCGATTTGTCGGCCAATCCCAGGCCTTCGAGATTTCCCTGCCCTTGATCAACCCCCCTTGATCAAGAGCAGGAGATGAAATCAATAAATACCCCTTGCTTTCATCAAAAGTACACAGTTCTCGTTTTGTTGCCGCCGCAGCGTGATCAGAGGTTTTTTGAGAGGTCTTTCTGAAAACATCTTGTTCAAAAATCTTCTAAAAACTCTGTGTTGTCTGTTTTTGTTCATCATCTAAATTTTGGGACTTCTCGAAATATACTTTAACTTTAAATAGGGATTCCACCGTGAATTCCCGGCCCCTGTCCCGGGCTGATTCTGTGTTTTTCTTGAAATCGTTTTATCAATTAATCTCTTTCTTTACAGCCTAGTCCTTTTCTTGTTGCAGTGACTTCAGTCACCAACAATGTATTTGATTTTGACTTGGTTCATTCATGTATAACTCACCCACGACCCAACAGATCTGTGACCTTTCCATCCAAGAACTTGATTCTCTCCTGTAGCAAAGTAGTAGATGCACCTCTGTCGGTGATACGTCCTCAGCTAATGCCCAGGCAGCTTTGGTTCTTGGTCTGATAGATAGAAAAGTTGCAGTACCTAATTAAGCAGATATTAAATCTGTATTTCATAATAAATCTTCATTTATCTTTTCATAACATGTCTTTTCATATTTTCAAATAAAACATGTTAGACTTACATTTTTGTGAGTTTCAAATCACTGAGCGTTGGGGTTTTTACATGTTTGTTACTCAGCCCACACGCTCTCAAATCCCGTCTTTGCATCCACTCATCAGGAGTTTGGGTCATCTTTTCAAACAGCCAGTCTTTGTACATAGATGGTCGTAAACAGCGAACAAAAGGTTCCATTGAAAATCAAATGTTTACCGCAGTTCTGAAAACACAAAGTGAATTGTTAATTTTTAACATTTATTTTTAATTTAAGGAAATGGGGGAGTAAATAATAATAGCTGTTTAGCTGTTTATTAAATATATATGGCCGTACTTTTGCAATGAAATAGATTTAACTGTTTTTTCAGTCCTTGGGACGCATGTTACCTCCAAAGCCACATCTGCAATATTGATGCTACATGCTTAATATTTGGCCAATGGTATGTCGGGGTAGATGTATGTGTATTTAATAACCCCAATGATATTTAAGCACGACAAGTAATGAGAAGCAAATAAATGAAGGGGAATGAGTGTTTCTGCATTACTGTAAATTAGCAAGTTGAGAAATGTGGATTAAATTATACTTTGACATTTGCGTTTGAGGTATATCATTAAAGAAATAAAATTAAATTGTACTCACTCACAAGAGCAGTTCACAGCTGCTATTCCATAATCAACCCAAAATTCAGGGGCAAAGTTTACGGCAACATTCCAGTTGAAGCCACCATGATGTCCCTTAGGAAATGTTACTATCATTTCCCAAGGTTCCTGGTCAGCAATTACAGGTTTGATCCCGTATTTGTGCAGGAAACCCTCCGCAAATAAGAAGTGCTTGTGTGTTGCTGGCACATCACAAGCACCTGCACCAAGATGAAGTTTCAGTACTGCTTAGTACTGCGCCAAGTGTTCCATTGGAATCCTGTACCTATTGTACAAAATGATATGTTTATAGTTATACTATTTACTAACTTTAGGTAACTCACCAAATTTTTGGGTAACCTCCGAGGCTTAGGTTTATCAAAACCAAGTCAATGTCTTCACAATGCATGGCAAATGCTGTACCCCTGGCTCCCAAGAAGTAGAATGGTGATGTTACCCCTGGGAACCACGTTCTTCCTTTCAATGAAGTCAGGAAAAGTGGGAGTCGGTTTCCATGCATTACAGAAAGATCAACCTTGTACCTATCTTATAATGAATATGAAAATAAAAATTTTAATGAAATTCCGGAATATATACACCATAACATTTACGTTTATCAAGTAACATTTTAATTTATTGTCAATATGTTGCCAACTAATTGGCTTTTGCCGATGACACATCCGCCCTGCAAGGAAGACTGCAATTCGACATCGGCAAAACGTGGTCTTGCATAAAGAAGAAAAAAATGCACCTGATGCATCGCCAACACCACATCAGCATTTCATTTTACCTGCACTTATACATTATAAATATTTAAAATATACCGATAATCAT